GGGAGGGGGGAGAGGGAGGACGAGGAGATGGGGGGAGGAGGGAAATGAGGCGAGAAAGATGGAAGAGAAGATAAGAGAGAAGGGAGTGATGGCAGGAAAGGAGGGAAGAAACGGTATGGTAAGGGCAGCACAGGAATAACTGGTACAGTCCTTGAACGTCTTAATGTATCAGGTCTCCAAGTAATGTGGGTGCCATGACCTTATTATGTGTCCGTACCTTTATCATCTATATGTTCTAATCTTTTATTATCACCCCCATATGTGAAAGGATAGTATCTAAAAATACTTGTTCTTATTTTCCAGCAAGAGTAAAATATATCTTGGCGTTTATGAGACCGAGTGTTTTTGGTAAATAAGACTGAATAGCGGGGTTTTTGTCTCCGGGACCCCAAAAATATTTCGTGTGGTGGTCTGCGAGCCAGCTGATTGGCGCTGTGTCTAGACGCTTCTCACATTTCATTAATTAATTATATGTTCCCTGTCATCTAGAGTAACACACTATAAGTATAACACTACTATATTATGTAAACATAGTGTTCGTGGAGCCTCTAAACACAAGATTAACTCGACACAGCGTTGACAGAAGACGAAACCACAGGTGAGGGAAAAAAGTTCTCTAAGGAAAGGCGAAATACTCCACATACCTGAGAGAGTAATATGAGGAACTTATTGTGTATCTCCCCCACAGTTGTGAGTGATAGTCTCCCAGGGGGGTTGTGAGGGCGAGATAACGGAGGGGAGACGGCCTCTGTGTGTGTGTGTGTGTGTGTGTGTGTGTGTGTGTACGAGTTATTGTTTATACACGCACCGTCACGAGTTATAATAATAATAATAATAATAATAATAATGATAATAATAATAATAATAATAATAATAATAATAATAACCCCTACCACTGCAGTTCTATTACCATTACAACTAATACTGTTATTATTCTTGAATATGTTTATACAAGAGTGAAAATCGTATTAATTCTGTATTTTTGTATTTCCGAAAATAATCAGTCATAAAATAAATTGAGTAACAAGGTGGCTTTATCAGGGAAACGTAAAGTAACCTAACCTAACATTAACCTAACCTAACATTAACCTAACCTAACATTAACCTAACCTAACATTAACCTAACCTAACATTAACCTAACCTAACATTAACCTAACCTAACATTAACCTAACCTAACATTAACCTAACATTAACCTAACCTAACATTAACCTAACCTAACCTAACCTAACATTAACCTAACCTAACCTTAACCTACCTCAACATAATACACGGTAGCTCCTCCTAAGTTATATACATTAGTGGAGCATAAACCTTAATCTTTCTCGCTTTAATTTGGCATCGATCTTAACTTTTAGTACTGCATTGCCCTGTTATTGCCCTCCGCTTTGGCATTGACCCTTACTTGCATTGCCCTCTTATTGCCCTCCGCTTTGGCATTGACCCTTACTTGCATTGCCCTCTTATTGCCCTCCGCTTTGGCATTGACCCTTACTTGCATTGCCCTGTTATTGCCCTTACTTACATTGCCCTGTTATTGCCCTTACTTGCATTGCCCTGTTATTGCCCTTACTTGCATTGCCCTCTTATTGCCCTTACTTGCATTGCCCTCTTATTGTCCCTGTTTGTCAATACCTTCAACCATATACATTTTACACAATAATAATTCCTTAAACAAACAAACAAACAAACAAACAAACAAAGACACAAACTCAATCCAAACTTATGTCGGAGATTCAAAACTAAATTTATTAAGTATTTGTTTTTATTTGTTTTTTTTGTTTGTTTTTGTTTTATCAAGGACAAAAAAGCGAAACGACGAATATGAAAGAATAACGATTACAGGGAATAACAAACACAGCGAACAACGAACACCACGAAACAACGAACACCACGAAACAACGAATACCACGAAACAACGAATACCACGAAACAACGAATACCACGAAACAACGAATACCACGAAACAACGAATACCACGAACATGTCTATTATCTTTCTCGGTGATTGTCCCAGCCATAGTGAGCAGCCTTTCCCTCATCAGCCAACAGACATCATTTGACAGCGTGATCTTGGAGACACAGGTGAATGGGGCGGATATGACATGGCTGCCTTCAACAACACTAAAATACTACTACTACTACTACTACTACTACTACTAATACTAATACTACTACTACTACTACTAATACTAATACTACTACTACTACTACTAATATATAAAAGAGTAATATTGTACAGGGTGTCTCATAGGTCACCTGGGAAACCATAACAAATGAATGATGATGGTTTAACCCTCTGAAGACGATGGTTTAACCCCTTTATGATGGTTTAACCCTTTGACAACTATGATTTAACCCTTTTTCGACGATGATTTAACCCTTTTATAATGGTTTAACCCCTTTACGACGATGGTTTAACCCTTTTACAATGGTTTAATAATCCAGTACAGAGTGCCAGATGCTCTACAGTGATCAGATGTTAAAGAATCCGATCTGCATTAAAATTCTATTGTATAACACCGACACACTAATGGACTCACGTAAATAAACATAAGATGACTTTGTTTATCCTTGATCAAGATGACATACTGTTTACATACTGTTTACCTACTGTTTACCTACTGTTTACCTACTGTTTACCTACTGTTTACATACTGTTTACCTACTGTTTACCTACTGTTTACATACTGTTTACATATCTACACTGTTTATGATCATTGTTTGTTTACCTGTACTGTCTACGTATATTGTTATATACCAGTAGTATGTTAATAATAAAGTGAGTGAGTGAGTGAGTGAGTGAGTGAGTCAGTCAGTCAGTCAGTCAAAAAACAAACCATCAGAATCCCACTCAGCAACTCAACCTACATCTCACTCTGTCTCCTCATGCACACTAACCTAACCTAACCTAACCTAACCTAACCTAACCTAACCTCATCCACAAACGATTAAAAAAGTAAAAACAAATAAAAAAAAAAGAATGTTACTTGACCACGACTTTTAAGTAACAAAGTAGCGCTCAAGGTAACATTAGCTTCCTCGTGTATGGGCTCCTCTCTGTGTTGACTAAAATAAGACTCAAACAATAGCTTAAAAGATGTGATATTCTTCCGCCAAACAAAAGAAAAACAAAAAGAAATCAAACTCATAAAACCAGATAAACCAAACACAAGAAAAACAAAAGCAAGAAAATTAAAAAAAATCATAAAACCAGATAAACCAAACACAGGAAAAAAAAGCAAGAAAATTAAAGAAAATCATAAAACCAGATAAACCAAACAAGAAAAAAACAAAAGCAAGAAAATTAAAAAAATCATAAAACCAGATAAACCAAACACAGGAAAAAAAAGCAAGAAAATTAAAGAAAATCATAAAATCAGTTAAACCAAAAACTAAAAGACAATAAAAATATAAAATTATACAAAACAAAAGAAGAAAAACATAAGAGAAAATGAGGATTATATAAAACAATAGCGGACAAAAATACATGAAATAAAGTAAAAATAAAGACCATGAAAAAAAAATTAACACCTGTACACTCTTTGACCTCTCACTGTCACACCTGTACACATTGACCTTTCACCCCCACACCTGTACACATTGACCTCTCACCCCCACACCTGTACACATTGACCTCTCACCCCCACACCTGTACACATCTGACACTCACATTGACCTTTCACCCCCACACCTGTACACATTGACCTCTCACCCCCACACCTGTACACATTGACCTCTCACCCCCACACCTGTACACATTGACCTCTCACCCCCACACCTGTACACATTGACCTCTCACCTCCACACCTGTACAACTTGACCTCTCACCCCCCACACCTGTACACTTGACCTCTCACTTTCAGGTGTGGAGACTATGGGCAGGTGTGTCATCAACAGTGTCATGAGTTCACAACACAACTTCACACGTTTCCAGTACATGACAGACAGACAGACAGACAGACAGACAGACAGGCAGACAGACAGACAGACAGACAGACAGGCAGACAGACAAGACACTTCTACCCTAGTTAGTGTATCATAATTTGTTCTTTACGATGAAGAAAATGAAGAAAAAACTAAGTATGACCAGGTGTGTGTGTGTGTGTGTGTGTGTGTGTGTGTGTGGTGGGTGTTTGATGTGAATGGATGTATGTTTGTTGTGCACGTCTGCGTAAGCGTATATGTGCGTGTGTGTTTATGTGCGTAAGTATATGTGCGTAAGTATATGTGCGTAAGTATATGTGCGTAAGTATATGTGCGTAAGTATATGTGCGTGAGTATCTGTATAGTATGTGCGTGTATGTATAGTATGTGCGTGTGTATATATGTGCGTAAGTGTATGTATGTATGTATGTATGTATGTATGTATGTATGTATGTACAGGACAACACGAGTTAAGGTATCATGTCCATGCTGGTCTTCAATAATACAGTACCATGCTTGAGGCACCATCACGGCAGAGTACACGTGATAACAGGATATCATGTTATCTAGAATCACATCTCAACTCATCATGGTAACAGGATATGTTATCTAGAATCACATCTCAACATCATCATGGTAACAGGATATCATGTTATCTAGAATCACTTAATATATCCATAGTGTAATCTGGGTTTAGTACAGGTGTGGGGAAAATGATTTTATTTTTACGTTTGTTTTACTCCCAGTGGCTCCTGTCTCCCCCTCACACGCCAACCAAACCTCGTCCGCAGTGTCGGCTTAACTGTTTATTCTGGAGATAATTGTCTAACTACACCCAAAACTTCAAAACACATCATTCATATATCGACTAATTCCTCTACTCGCGTGACGGTCAACATGCACTGGGGATATTCTTCAGTTTGACAGTGAAAGTTCTTTGAAGTAACATGCAACGATAGATAGAGGAAACAGTACAGAGGACGCGTGTGTTTGTGTGAACAGACACGCACACAGGCAGGCTGGTGACACAACACTACACACACAGAGCCACGTTAGTGAACTCTTGTCACCAACCTGACCATCGCCCGCACAGTTTAATATGATCGACTCTCAGCTGTTCATCCATAGTCAGCCAACGAGTAAAGTTTTTTCTCGGAGCGCCACACGTTGTCTCTCTCTCTCTCTCACTGTTTATATCACTTTATCTTGCTTCTCTCTTTTCTCTTTGACTTTCTTACATCTGACCTCGTAAAGAAATAGTAATGATAAACTACCACGACACATCCAACAACGCGATAACAGCGGACACCGCGTGTATTTGAACCAGGGAAGGCGAGGAAGCAGGCCGGTGCTTGCCCGTCAGCAGCCGCCAGCGGACTCGGCGAGGCAGTGTGAGGTGAGTCTCAACAGTCCTCCCCGTAGTCAATAGCCAAATCAATAGTCATGCGGAGATCCCCCTCTCTCTCTCTCCCTCTCACACAGGTCTTACACCGCTCATGGTAACAGACGAGGGATACTCAGGAGTCTCTCTAGGACGTGGCAGTGCCCCATGACATCCTGTAGAAGTGATGGCAGACGACGGCATCACTGCTGCAACGGGAGGAGGCATGGACGCTGAGGGAGGTGGTAGGGTGCGCGGGCGCCTCGCTGCTGGGGGAAGGTCAGCGTGAGAGGATAATGCTACCGCCTCGTAATATATTCATGGGGGGATTGAGTCTGTGCTCAACGACGATCGCTAAGAAGATCCCGCGAGCTTCACGTGCTGCAGGAGGAACAAAAACAAACAAGTTTACCGGGAGGAGTCTGGTGTCTTCCACTACTCTCTGACCTCCCGCGCACTCCAGACTTAGGTAAATTATACTGTTCTATAAATACTCGCACTCACTCACTGCAGCTCATTCAAACATTGACAGATTATCTCCATAAAAAATGATCTCTCTCAAACCATTAGAATAATCAAAATTTGGAAAGAGCGGAGAAGACACTTAGCCAAATTACCCTCGAACCACTAAAGACGAAATATTTATCCCCAGATAGCCCATGTAATACTGTGAACCGACTTGAAGCGAGGAACAGTATCGAGTCTTGTGGTTCATTTAAGAGTTGCATCACGTACGTGTGTGTGTGTGTGTGTGTGTGTGTGTGTGTGTGTGTGTGCCAAAAATTAATTATCTAGGGAGAAATAAGAGTTATTCCTCCCAACGAACTTAATGTTTTGTGAAAAGACTTCAGTTCAGGGAATGAAAGTTATCATGCGACTTATTTCACACACACACACACACACACACACACACACACACACACACACACACACACACACACACACACACACACACACACACACACACACACACACACACACACACACCCGTCTCTGTTATTTGGTGACAGAAATTAGGTACAAATAATCCTAATGGTCTCTCTCTCTCTCTCTCTCTCTCTCTCTCTCTCTCTCTCTCTCTCTCTAGATAAATATAGCCTAACCAGCCCACATCCCTCCCCTGGCAGCAACAAAGCGACAAGCAACACCCGAACCACTGTCTAAAAACCTGGTAAGTCTTCCTGCTTCCTGAGGTGAACACATTCTTTATGATTGAACACTGATGACTCATACTGAACACCTCATGACTCATACTGAACACCTCATGACTCATACTGAACACCTCATGACTCATACTGAACACCTCATGACTCATACTGAACACCTCATGACTCATACTGAACACCCGATGACTCATACTGAACACCCGATGACTCATACTGAACACCTGATGAACACTGAACAAAAAGTTAATGTAAACAAATGAAAAATGAAGTGTGAAGTGGAGTGGTGGTTGAAGGTCCTGCTTGAGGTAATTATCTAGGAGGTGGGAGGTAAAACTCAAGGTGGTGGGAGGTAATACTCGAGGGGTGGGAGGTAATACTCGAGGTGGGAGGTAATACTCGAGGAGGGAGGTAATACTTGAGGTGGGAGGTAGCACCCTGAGAGGCGAGGGTCATACACTACCTCACCTACAAGTGCCACTCAACCCACCAAGGTCAAAGGTCAAATGTACAAATAATTAAAACTGTAAATATGTACACGACCTGTTTAGTATGTACAGCCAAAAATGAACTCCCGGCTGTACAAAATTACTGACTAATTAACCGGACCTGAAGCACTAATGTTAACCCATCAGAATTATAAGTGTGTTTTACTTTACGCACTTAACCCATCAGATATTATAAGTGTGTCCTACTTTACAAACACTTATATAACAGCTATGATTCACCTCTCTCTCATTTCCTAAAAAAAAAAAAAAAAATCCACACACGTGTTTAATTACCTGTCCGCGTGTCTCCATCACCTGACCACTTAATTACCAGAATGTAAACACGATACATCTCCTACAGGTACAGTACGCATCCTATCCTCTGATGTGACGACAGGGGAATAATTATGTATACTTTTGACTTATTTTCATCATTTTAGTTAGATTAGGATAGATGTCAACACACTTAACGATACGAGTGATGGAAAGGTCAGTTATGTAGATGACTGTAGTTAGTTATGTAGGGTCATGTAGCTGAATATGTTAAGTATCCTGTATTATGTAGGTTCTTGTAGTGAATTTTTTTTACTCAGGTGGGAGACAGATAGATCATAATTAACACAGGTACAGCAGGTGTAATTACTACGCCTCTCTATTCTACACCGAGAGAGAGAGAGAGAGAGAGAGAGAGAAAATCTTTAAAAAAACTTCCAATTATCTTCCAGGTACAGTCGTCCTTCCCGGCTCCAATTTCCCCCCATTAAAGTTTAAGGTTACCAATTTAAGGTTACCAATTTAGATCAGATTCCTCCACCTACCTTCCCTACTAATTATTATCGTAACTTAAATTGGCTTACGGTAATGATGCAGGAAAAGGTCCAATTACTGTGCAATTTAGTGAAGAGGTGTGGTGTGGTGTGGTGTGGTGTGGTGTGGTGTGGTGTGGTGTGGTGTAGTGTAGTGTGGTGTGGTGTAGTGTGGTGTGGTGTAGTGTAGTGTGGTGTGGTGAGGTGTGGTGTGGTCTGATCTGATTCCTGGCAAGTACCCCTAAAAGAAAGTTCTGATTTACCTTAGGTCTATAAATAACTTCTGTATGATACTTATTCTTAAATCCTACATATTGATGAAATACAATATGGCCTTCGTATCTAAATTATCCCGAGATGTAAAATATATATACGTGTTACATAATCGAACCTAGAATATCAATTATATCTCTATTGTATAATCTGGAATTAATAACCTAAGTATAGGAGGTATTTTTTTTAATGTTTGGAGATTAAATTCAAGTATTCGCCTAACCTAACCTAACCTAACCTAACCCAACCACTACCTCGGCACCACAGACTCACTTTAACCGCGTCATCTTATCTCCGAGAAACAATTTTCTACAAGAGGAAAGAAAGTTCAATTTTTTTTTCCAATATTCCTCCTTCACAAATTTCCCTCGGGCAATGACCTGATATTATTGCCCAAGGCGGTGTTCCACTGTGGTACCTAACCTAACCTAACCTAACCAAACCTGATCAATGTGTCCCAAATATGTCCTAATGATAACCCCAGTGTCCCAAATGACTCCAATATGTCCTAAAAGGTTACCGGACTTGTAAACTATGTCCTCTTGGCAAACACAGATAGGGGTGTCTTAGTGTCCACATATTATAGCGAATTAACAACCGCTTCTTGTGTCTCATTAAACGACCAACAGCGAGTGTCCTAAATCATGACCTTGTTAGCGCTGATGTCCGAGTAACTAGAGAATCACTGAACGACTTTCCAATCTTCTTCAGCTAATTCTCCTTATTCCTTTGTGTTATTCCGTTTATTGTAATTCTTGTTTCGTTATTGTTTATATCACCGGGAGAGACAAAGAGGAGATAGAACAAAGAGAGATAATTATTGAGAGAGAGAGGGAGGGAGAGAGAGAGACATCCCAGGAATCTCATTTTCCATACTCCACTATAATGGCGTATGGAGGCATCTCTCTAATGACTCCTGCTAGTGGTGGGTGTGGTGCCTGGCCTCCTCCACCCCACTCCACTCCACTCCACTCTACTCCACCCCACTCCACTCCACTCCACTCCACTCCACTCCACTCCACCCCACTCCACTCCACCTGGTTCACCCCCACTCCACCTCGTTCTACTTCCCTCCACCTCACCATAGCGACCTTCCCCACCTACCCCGGCCCCATTGACCTACCACCCCATCCTGACCTACCCCACCCTATCCTGACCTACCCGCCCTACCCAAGAAGCGCCGACCAGGAACGGGACACATGTGGGTGGTCTGGGTGGCGGCTGATGTAGCTTTCGGCCACCCAACAAGAGGACCACCCTAGCTGTGTATTGACCCGACACCCTGACCACCCTGCTCCTCCCACCCTGCCACCCTTCACTCCACCCTGCCACCCTTCACTCCACCCTGCCACCCTTCACTCCACCCTGCCTCATCCATCTTCTTTCCTCCACACCACCACAATAAAAACAACAACAATAATAACAATAACAACAACAGTAATAACAATAACACTAATAATAATAATAATAATAATAATAATAACAACAACTAGTAATATGAATAACAATAACACTAACAATAACAATAACAACAATTACAATAACACTCACGCTATATAATCCAATAAGCAGTCGTCTTTCCCCCAGAGTTAACGCTGAACTGAAACAACAAAATGACTAAATCAACAAAAACAGAAGAAAAACAATAAAACAGAATAAATAAATGAAAAAAATAATAAACAAAGAAACAATGAAAATAACAGAAGTGATGCAAGAATTAATTAAACTATCAAGAATTTATTAACTATCATATAGAATTATTTCTGGAATTAATTTTATACTTAAATTAATTACTGAAAGGTCACAAAAGTCTCCAGGTAACACACAGACGATACACCTTAATTATACAGGTAAAGGTAATTTGATTTTGAAAACGATTCCCCAGATTTTAATTAATTATATATTAATATTTGCGTAATGTTTTTCGATGACTTTATAGAGTATTATTTTCTATTAGAGCTATTTACTATTAATACTATTTCATATCAAAGCTATTTCCTATTACAGCTATTTCCTATTAAACCTATTTCCTATTAAAAAAAATTCTTGTATAACCTGTACTTAAAAAGAGTCCAATTTATCCTTGTCTTACTGATCTAACTAATGGATTTTTATTACGTGTGAGGTAAGTTTGGTGAAATGGATATACAATGTATCTACTTTCACTAATAGTTTACCTACATCCAATAACAGTCCATCCACCTGCCCTACAGTTCATCCACCTGCCTTACACTTCATCCACCTGCCCTACACTTCGTCCACTCCCCAATCAGGAG